CATGGTTTCCACCCCAGGTACCAGATGACTGACTAAAGTTTTTGCATCTTCTGCAGGAATTGTCCCAGATGCAGCAGCAAGTATCCGACACCTCCGTGGTCCTGTCCATGGACAACAACCGTAACTTGGACCTCAACAGCATCATCGCAGAGGTCAAAGCGCAGTACGAGGACATCGCCAACCGGAGCCGGGCTGAGGCTGAGGCTTGGTACCAAAACAAGGTGGGTGACCAGAAGGACAGGCTGATTTCTGCGATTCATGTGGCGTCACATTAGCTGGTGGGAGGCAGGACTAACGGAGGAAGGATCACAGCGTTACACCAGCGATTAATTTATTTTCTACGTGTGTTACAACAGCCTCTGGTGTACAGATCCCCAGTGTCCACTTGTGGACCTCTGCTCTTGACCAGCCTCATACTCCTTGTGGTGAAACAAAGGGACAAGATACTAAATGCCTTGACCCTGGACTCACAAGGAGTCACTGGTAGATCTGGCCTTAGACACAGAGCATTCCTCCTAAACAGCAGGTGACAATCCATAGGAGCTCTTTGCAATGCAATAGCTGCTGCCTTAGTATATATTGTTAACTGAGGGCAAACACTGTTATTCCATGGGCAGGTTGCTCAGAGGAATGTTGTTGCCCACCCTTAACCTGCATCCAGACCTGCAGCTCGTGCCCTGAAGTCCCCTCACCCTTCCCTGAGCCCCGTGGTGCCTGACCAGTGCTCTCTCCCTTTCTCTACATCAGTACGAGGAACTCCAGGTCTCCGCCGGGCGGCACGGTGATGACCTGCGTAACACCAAGATAGAAATTTCGGAGATCAACCGGATAGTCCAGAGGCTGCGGAACGAGATCGAGAGCGTGAAGAAACAGGTAGGAGGGGATGCTCCTGCAAGGCAGCTGCTGCGTGGGGGAGGGCAGGTAGAAAGTGATGGTGGCCAGGCATGATGGAAAGAGCCAGCTCCTGGCATTGGAGCAGGGCTGGAAGGCCAGGCTTCCTACCCTGCAGTAAAGAGAGCATGGGCACCTCTGCCTCGGCCGACCAGAGAAGATCCCTCAGTGCAAGGATGTGCTGTGATAGCTGCTTTCTTGCTGGGGAAGCAAGTCGTGAGCTACTAAGCCACCCCAGCAAAAGTGTGGAGCAAAGCAAAGAGATGTAGATGCCTCTCCTTTTCTTGGGGGAACAGGATTATAGCTGCTGCAGCTCCCCAGTTACCCACCCTACGACACCTTCCCAATGGCCCATCAGGAGCTCTCAGTGCTGTGCTGGGAGATGGCGTCTACAACACCACAGCAATACTCAGGAGGGCAGTTTCAGGTTGTCCAAGTTAAACAACTATCCGTTTCCTTTGCTTTTAGTGTGCCAACCTCCAAGCAGCCATCGCCGAGGCGGAGGAGCGTGGGGAGTTGGCCCTCAAGGATGCCAAAGCCAAACTGGCTGAGCTGGAGGATGCTCTGCAGAAGGCTAAGGCTGACCTGGCCCGGCAGCTCCGCGAGTACCAGGAGCTCATGAACGTCAAGCTGGCCCTGGACATCGAGATTGCGACCTACAGGAAGCTGCTGGAGGGCGAGGAGAGCAGGTGAGGACACGCACATGGACCTGTTATGTGCTATTTGAGCACATTGCCTTGGGCTCAAAGAGACAGCTCACCCCCATGGGCTGGAGCACCAAGTTGGTGAAGATGTAAAAGAGGACCAAGATATAAAACAAGGGCAGAAAGAGGGACACTTTAAATTGTGAGCTTTCTAAGAAAAGATGAGTTTCTCCAGCTCTTGGAACCCAACGCACTAAGGAAAATGAGCGATATCACCTTTCACCTGTGGTGCAGACATACCCCACTGGAGGACAGTCCCTACTGCAGGCCATGAAAGTCCAATTAGATGGTTCCTGTGGCTAAAGTTGTATCTTGTCTGTGCTTTGCCATTATTGCTGACTTTCCCCTTTCCCAACAGACTTGCTGGAGAGGGAGTTGGAGCCGTGAGCGTCTGTAAGTATCTCCTCCCCTTCCACCCCTGTTTGCCCCCAGCTCGCCGCAGGGGCGGCAGCGCAGGTCCCCCCATCTCGGGCAGTCGGCAGGACCCTAAAGCGGGTGTGTGCTGTGTCTCCCTGCAGCCGTG